AATTTATGGTAAAAGAAACAAGATTAAAATCCAAAACATTAATTTCATATGAAACTATCTCAACGGAAATTAATGGAAATTCTCAATAATACTCGATCTGTTGTCCAAAAATTATATTGGGGCACAAAACCGAGGATCGAATTAGCAAAAAACCAAAAACCAGCGAGAAAAAAAATATTCAATATAGAATGAAAAGTTGTTGTTCGGACAAGTGGCCGATAATCCAAAGCTAAGCGCACCTAAACTTGCTGAAATCGCTGAGAAATATTTGAAAAGAAATGTAACCCAGAAACCATCCGAAGAATTTTTCGTAAACAAGTACTTCATGGTAGTGTTGCACTGAAAAAAAAACATTCATAATCCTCAAAAACTGGAAAATCCGATTGGGGTTCGTTTAGGAATACAAGAAGAATGATTTTGTTTTTTTTTTTTAAATTTTGAAACCCTTAACACACAATTCCGACCCTAAAGCACGGAGGAGGCTCTGTAAGGAGTAGGAAATCTCGTTTTTGTTGAGGGAACTATGGATAAGTTTTATTTAAACATTCTAAAAGATAATTCAAAATGTAGTGCTGACAAATTGTGATTGGGGACAAGATTTTATTTTTATCAAGATAATGACCACAAACACCAGTCCCAGATCGTTCGAGAATGATACTTAACGGGTTAGGGATCTGATTACCGATAAGAAACCGGAGGAACCTCAAATCTATCTGGAAGTTCTGAAGCAACTATACTAGTGGTAATGCGATCGACTTCTTGATAGATCCGAAGTCGCAAGGGAAGTTGGCTGTAGTTAACCCTACAACAGAGGATACAACTTTGTGGAGCCGGAGCTGGAATGCGAAACGATGCCAAACACTCCTGATCATTCAGGACTTCCAAGGGGTTCTCTAAGTATTGAGAAGTCATTGACACCATCAAAGTCGGCTATAAGTCATAAGGATTCCATTACCAATAAGGAACCGGAGTAACTTTAAATATATTCGGAAGTTCTCACGGAAGTATACGAATTATATTGAGAGAGACTTCTAGTTCGAAAAATTCAGACGACGCGAATGAAGTTGGCACTAGTTAACCCTTCAACAGAAGAGATAGCAATGAGTAGTTGGAGCTCGATTGCGAAACTCTTGCCAGGGACTTCTGATCATTTAGCACTTTTAAGGGAGGTCACTAAATGTTGAGAAGTCCTTAACGAAGTCGACTAGAAGGAGAACCCGTAAAAATGCCTCAGGGAAGACGGCCAAGCCGCAACACTCTTGTAAACAACAACCCAAATCCACCTGTGTCGTGTTGCCAAAACCTAGAACCAGGGTTATTACATCAAGACAGTTGTTTGAATAACCTTACAGAACCACCTAAAGTGGCAAAATCGAAGCAACAAGTGGTCGCGACAGCAGCATCTACTTTTGCGGCGATTGCAAACAAACCTCAAACAAAACCAGTGTCTGTAAAGAGGTCGTCGTATGATCAGAGACCATTAAAAAAAAAGAAAACTGTACTAGAGAACGATACCGAATCATGTTGACACTCCTGTTCTATTAGGGGAATCTCGAATGACTGTGAATGGCATTCATTGATCATGATAGATGAAGGGTTCCATAGTCCGATACTAAACCATATCGACACTCCGGAATTTCAGACGCTCCACAAGACCTTCGAGTGGCAAAAATTGATCGGAATCATATGATGGGTAAATCAAATGTGAAGATCAATAGGTATCTGAAGAACCTCTTCTGAACAACGTAGTCAATCGCCGGAGTCTTCGATTTGGCGGATCCTTCGATTTGACAAAGGATATTATCGATGAGACGAAGGAATCTTCAATCGACAATTTTTTTATTGTCGTTTTAAATTTAGGATATTTGGGTTTTAAAATGTATCATGTCCCCTTTTGACTGATATTTTTTTTTTTTTTTTTTTAATAGGCCCAAATTGCAAACAAATTGAAAATTGTCTGCAAAGCAACTGAAAATGTCAACAATGATGGAGTATTCTATATAGGAGATGTACTAAAAAGCGATATAAATTATATACCTATGGCGACCGGCCTTTCTAAATGGATATATTCTTCAAAATATATGACCATTGAAGTAACTATTAAAGTAAATCAAGATTTTGTCAGTTTTTCCAGCAATACTATACCCGAACTTGATCATAAACCCTAGTTTCCCTAAGAAATAAAACATCTGCACTAAGAAACAATTGAGATTTCTCTCAACCATAGAAACAGTGTTAATGAATCTTATCTATACAAATACCTCACTTCAAATACATATGCCATATTTGTAAAAAAAAGATTCATTTAAATTGTAGTTTTCTATATTATTATACGGGCTCAGAATTTTCTATTGTTGAAAATAGTTCTCCCCTCTTATTGCTCTATGCTCCACATAATACAGAATTCTTTTCTTTTTTTTTTTTTGTTAATTTCGTTGTTAAATTTCAATGCACTTGGATTTGTTATTAATTTCTCAATTCTGATACGTCATTAAAACGTGTGAGCATGGCTGTGTATATGGATACGTCTATATACACATTTTTTGTTTTGAATTTCCAAGAGGAATGCCTGCCTCTTGGATACATTTAAATGTTTATTAATAAAGAATGCGTTTGAATGAATTGTAAACAACTTTTTGTTTGAATGCTAAGTGGCGTTGTTGTTTTTGTTGTCATTTTTTTTTTGGCTGCGAGCATTCTTGTTGAAATGATGCTTTTGCTGATATTGTATATTGAGATTTTTCTGAAATGTTTCACGTTTTTTTCTGGAACGCAAAAATACAATCACATGCTGTATCTTATAATGTAAAGGGTGGTTACTTTTTTTCAGAAAAAAAACATTTAAGGGTTAGTTGTGTTGTACAAAAATTAAATCTACACATTAGCTTTTTGGTGGTAATGTAATGAATCACAAAATTGCATGTCGAGATTTAAGGGATGTTGAAGTAATGCTAATGAAGTCACCTCAGTAAGTATTTGTTTTAATAATAAACTTGCCTGTGGTAATAATCAAATATAAATAGCAAAACAGCGTTTCATTTTTTTATATTCATGGTACAAATGATAAAAGTTGGAAAATGTGTACATAAAAAAAACAAATGAGCAGCTTTTCTCAAATATCGTTCGAAATATCTAAATTCGAGAATTATATAATTCAAATTAATTCTGATTTCTAAAAATTACAATAGAATATTGAATAATTCAAACTGCAATAGGTAAAGCAGCAATTATTACAATTGCGGTTCAAAGTATTTAATTTAATATATCATATTCAATCGTTATTTTCAAAAATCCTAGAAATAGCAGCTGGATTATACTTAATATTTAACCCTTTGAGCCCCGAATTTTTTGCGCAATCTTAGAACAAATTTCTGTTCACAGATTTAATGCAACTATCCTAAATAGGATATGCACAAATCGATATATTCTTGCATTCGGGAGATACAGTACATTCTTTCGGAAAAATTAAAGTCCGATATCAAGACAACCAAATGCAAAATCGTCAGAAAAATCATTTTATATTATTCTCTATATTCAATTTAACAAGAATCAGACAGACAAGTATCAACACGCCAACCACTGTTTAAGATGGTGTAGTTCATATCTATATTTAATGCTTTTCTTTCTTTATCGTCCTTTAGTCGGAACGACCAAAAACAGGAAAAATGTTTACCATGTTTGTTTTGAATTATTACGGTCACAATAGCTTTCAAGTAAATTTTTAAGGCAAAGTAGAATATTCGAAATAAGGCCCGTTCATCGAAATAAAGACAATATTGCGATATTAATTAAAACCTCGACATGGATAAATCTACATCGATAGTTTTATGAAATAGTATGCAGTTTGTCCCATTTAAGCAAAAAATAGTGTTAATTTCGGGACAAAGATTGTAATATAAGTTTATACAGTTGTTATGGTCCAGTTTCCATTTATTCGTAAAAAAAAGTTGCTAGCATTTCCATAGAAGTTTGCATAAAAGTCAACATGCAAATAACATTTATCTGATAAATCTCGAAACTTCATTTTTATTGAAGCAATGAATGACTCAACAACACAAGCAATAACTAAATGTGTCAATGCTAAAGAAGTCATTGCAAAAAGATCTACCGGAGAGCAGTTGACTTCTGCAACCGGCTCATCGAACGGGATAGGAATTCGACTATCTATTCAGAAATTTTCACGGAATTACACGAATGATATTGCGCAGACTTCTTGGAGATGACTCTAGATTTCTTTCGTGTAAGATGTCCAAAATTTTTGCCCATTCTACTTGTAAAGAATTTTTCAGACTTGGTGTGCTTTTATCAGCAAAAAAATAGATTTCCAAAATGCAAAATCGTGTTTCTGAACGACATCCAATCGGATTTTCTGTTTTTTGGGTCTTATGAATGTTTTTTTTTCCAATGAATCTCTACCATGAGGACCATTCTTACGAATAATTCTTCGAATTGTTTGTGAGTTACATTTCTATTCCAGATATTCTCTGCGATTTCAGAAAGTTTAAGTTTAGGCAACCACTTTTCGTCTCTTATATTGAATATTTTTTCCTCGCTGGTTTATTGGCTTGTTGGAAATTCGAATTTAGGACAGCGCATTAAGTAATATTGAGTATTTCTGCTATTTTCCGATAACATTTTCATAGTTCGGTATGGTGAAGAACTAATTTTCTCTCGACAATGGGTGTGCGACGTCCCATGGTCCCAAATTCTCACGATGGCTATAATAAGCAATCTCACACGTAACGTATAAAAAGATTTCAGATGCAATATTTTACTTGATATTCCACGAGAAGATTGACTCTTTGCTAGGTAGAAGAAAATTGTTATGAGGTCAATTTAAAAATGTTGATTTAAGTTGCTCTCAATGCAGATTTCATCTTAAACCTCATTTTTTTTCAACTCGGATGTTTTGTCTACTTTAAACCAATTTTAATCCTTCACGTCTGGAAATATGTTATATGATATGCTATATATATTTTATATTTATTCCGTGAACTTACCTTATATACATCGCCATATGTACCCGAACCGATTTTCTGTATGAGTTCATATTCATCCTGAGGATTGCGACGAGATATATCCGAACTTAGAAGGTTGGCATTGTGATGGCCCGCCATGTTTGGTTATTTTGTTGATGGTGATGACAAAGCGGGAGACAGAAACGTTAATGACACACTACACACTTTTAAAAGTTTTCCACGTAGAAAATAGACGAAGGATAGATAGATTTTCTTCAGCAGACAGTTACAAAATTAGCCTCTTTGTAAAAAAGGCTTTGTTAAGATTTTGATTCAAATATTCTAAAATTTCTTCTTTTTTGTTTATTTTTCAACACTTCGATACACAGAGAACGAGTGACACAGCAGCGTTGTTATTAATTACAAATTCTGTTTCGTTTCAAATTTGTTTTCTATTTCAATTTGTTGTTGTTATTGTTGTTGTTATGGCGTAATTGATAAGTAATTATGTATCGTGTATTGTTGCTATTTGTTATTTTATAGTTATTTATCAACGGAACTTGAGACATTTATCATTTTCTTAAGTTGCATAATTTCATGTTTTATTTGTTATCGAGAGAAAGAGAGCGAAAAAACGTGAGGAGTCTGCTGGTGAAAAAATGGAAGAAATTATTATTATTAAAAATACACCAGAAATTATTATTTATTTTCATTTGTTTATATGCGTTTTGTGGTTTTTCTATATTTTGCACTTTTAGATGACAAACAATTTGCGAAATTAAAGAACAAAGAACACACACACACAATACAAACAATACACCACAACGATCAGTTTCATTCACATTGGAACGCCAAAGAGTTGTTTTTGTTTGTTGATGTGACGATGGTGGGGGGAAAGCCCTGGGCTCCAACAACATCAACAACAAAAACAACTATTTAGCGTCATTTGCCGCTGTCATCACACAAATATACATCGGCGTCAACGTGAACGCAGCCGTTGTTGTTGCGGTTGACAAACACTGTTCTGCGAACGAGCGAGCGTGTTCTTGTTTGTCTCGCTGACAGTTTGATACAAGTGGTTGCGGATAGTGTTTATTTTTGGTTAAACTCGTTGATGGTTTGTATTGTATGTGTGTCGTTCGTCGTCCGTCTGTCGGTGTGTACATGTGTATTTTGCAATATCTTCACATTAGCTGGCTAATATTCTTGTTGTTATAATTATTTTTGTTTTCTTCTTGTTTCTGCTATTTTGTTGTAGTCATCAACAAAATAATAATCATCATCATCACTTGACAGATCAAATATAAACCGGAGAGCACTGTGACACAATGAAACCACACACACATGTGCACACACAAATTATTCTTCAGAAGATCAGATTCTGTTTTCCTTTTTGTTGTTCCTCATAAAGTGTAATCAAATATTTCCTTTAATTTCTGTTTTGTTTCTTTTCTCATTTTCACATTCTTTTGTTCTTCTTCTTCTTTCGTTTTATTTTTTTGCACGATGGACGGCGACGACGAAACAGGCAAAACAAGTGGCTTGTTTGCCAATTGAACTCAGCTGCTGCTGCCAGTATTCCAATTTGACACTTGGGCAGAGACAAACTGAAGGCAGTGACAGTAATAATTTTCTCCAAAATAACGACCAACCATACACACACACTGAGAGATAGGCTGTGAGAGAGAGAGCGAACAAGCCACTCAGAGAAAGGTGGCAAAAAACAAAACACCTTCAACGTTGTAATGGAAATACTAGTCGCTGTGTTGTTACATTTAATATTGTTGTTGTTATTATTTTTTGCATCTCTTTTGATAAGAAGAGTGGATGGAGGGTTTGCTTTATTTGTATTGTTGTTGTTGTAGCTGCTGTTTTTTACAGCCTTTGCCTTGACACATTGCAATTTCAATTTCACCACGGTTTCTCTTGCCACATATTGCACAAACTTGCTTTTCAGATTGTTTAAACCTTTGCCACACACACGTTTTCACAGACAACTACACTAATTGCATATTTGTTTTTCGTTTTATTTTATTTCCATCAAATAATAATTTTATTTAGTTACACTTTAATTTAGCCCCAAAAAAGGGGGTTAACAATGGGGCGTGCGTGTCTTGAGCCCGAAACACATATACACAGAGGCAGGCAGCAAGCAATATATTGCGGACACGCCAACACTCGTCGAACACAATTATTTTTTTATTATTATTTTCTTCTATTAATTCTTTATTCTGTTTGTACTTGCTACTGCTGTTGTTGTTGCTGTTTTTATTTTTTGTTTAATTTCTTTATTAGGTTGTTATTCTTTGCTTTGGCATTTCTTTTCTTTCATTAGTTGATAGTTGGATAAATTCTTGTTCAACACAAACTTCACTACGATTTCCCCCGTTCTCAACCTCCTCTCTTGCACAAGAGCGAAAAAAAGAATTAACAAAAAATAATAACTAATTTGTAAAGAGTAGGAAGAAGACAACACACGGCAACATAACACACAATAAAAACAACAAACAGCAGCAGAACACAAAAACAACACACAAAAGTAGTAGCCAGTGAGAACAAAAAAAAAAACAAGGGCGACGTCAAATTAAAAAATTATGAAAATTTCAGGCTGTGAAACACACACCCAAACACAATAGGCTGAAACGCAACACACACACACAACTAACACGATGACGACGACTGCGACTTTGTCCGTTTGTGTATTTCGTTTTTTTGATTTGTTTCTTCTTCCAATAAGGAAACTTCAATTAGTATTCGTTCATTCCACGCACATTTTCACATCCTGCTTTTTAATTTTTTCGTTGATAATTTTGTTATAAAAAATTTTTGTCGTGAATTCTTTAATTTTTTGCTTCACAAAAATTAAATTTCTACTATTGCCGTACACACAACGTTTGTATTCTATTCAGAAAGAAAAAATCTCGGAGAGGCCACAGCACAAACGACGTTACGTCTGTGTTTGTCGAATTTTTGACAGCGAATGAAATCTGAGAGAGATTTTGTTTGTTGGATTTTTTTGACAGCCTATGGAAGAGGGATATAGAAATCGACTTTGAAGTAGTGAGCATTGGCATTATTTTACTTGTTTTCTTCCTTTGCTCTTTCTTCGATTTCATGTTATGGGCATCACTTATTTTGATTACAGGGGTTGCCATTCGATAATCAGTAGCATTATCGATTATTGAGTAGAAAAATCATGTTCACATGTTATAATTCTATTAATGATACATGGTCTGTTCCCGTACTGCAAGAATCTACAACTTTTTACTATGTTAACGAATTTTCCTTTATGATATCGAAGAAAATAGTAAAATCGAGTAGATTCTTGCAGTACGGGAACAGACCAACAATTGTATAGTGAGCAATAAAAAAGGTGTAATTGATTTAAAAACAAATCTTTGGAAATGGTCTCATAATGTCGCAGTGACTTGTTAACATATGCAATTTGTAGGTAGTTTTGTTTATTAGACTTATTTCAACATGGTTATATGGTATCCGACAATGGCAGATAACAGAAAATTTCCATTTGTATACAATTTCGTTAATTAACGAAAACATTTTGTGAGCTATGACTAAAATAAAGTAGTAACTAAACCGACTCATATAAAGATTTTAAAATCATTTTCTGCATGACGGCAAAAATGTTCAAGAAACGCACCACTGAAACGAGAATACGCTTAAAAAACTTGCCTTCGTAAACAATACCATATTTCCCTACTAATAAATCGTTGTACAAATAAATAGGGATTGATTTAACTTGGTATTCTTGAAAACAGATAACTCACGGTGTACCAAGCAAACCGCAAGTAATACTTCGCTTTTGGTTTGCGTAAAATTTCGGTAATAACAGGCATTTGTAGGAAAGTTAAGGTCAATTATTTGGTACAATTATTCAAGGTAGGCTATAGCTACCTATAAATTACAATTTTTTCATATTGTGGCTTGTTATGTCAAAGTCAAATAGAAAATGTTTGACTGTGTATGTGATGCTTCAGAAACATATAGATGTAAAGATGTATTTTACAACATTGGTAAAAAGAAATGTATGATTTGTGAATGGCAGGCTTATGTACAAGAAGCACATAGTTGTATTCGATTATTTGAAATGAGACTACCCATGGTACAAATATTCAAGGTAAGCCATAGCAACTTGTAAATTACAATTTTTTCATACTGTGGCTTGTTGTGCCATAGTCATATACAAAATGTGTGACTGTGTATGTAATGTTTTGACAAATAGAACAAAATATATTCGAAAATCGAATAAAAAAACTACAATATTAACATATTTTCTTGTTGTTTTGTAGTGACGAGTAAAGGCGTTAGGCTGTCTATTTTTGTCTCTCCTATAAAATTGCAAAATGAGGACAAATTCTCTTTACATGTAAAGTGAGAAAAACTAATAATATTGGTGCTATAAGGCGCGTTTAGACTATGCTTTTTAAATCGACTCGATTTGTAAATCGTAATATCAAATCCTAACTGTTTAGACTAGAATAAAAATGACATGGAGTCGATTTGTCAGCTGTTATCACATTTCACTGCTCTCCTGATTTTTAAGGCAATTTTTAATAAATAGGTCAGTCATTACAACCTTTGTTGTTCCAAATTATAGTACAGTATTTTTCGGTTAATTGGTTTCCCCGCTTAATTGAACCACATGATGGGGCAACAAAATATTGCATACGAAAACACATGTAAATTTCCTCGGATAATTAATCCCTGCTAATTGATTTTCCTATTTAATTGGTTCAAAATTCATGTCATCGAAAATAAATTTCCTGTTATTTTTCACTGGTTAATTGCATTATAATTGAAAAAAATCTGGCATTTTTATAGGCCCATGGTTCCTTTTGAGAATATGCATAGAATCACTTTCTGAGTCGATTTATACATGTCCGTCCGTCCGTCTGTTGATGGTAAACTGTAAACAAAAGTACAGGTCGCATTTAAAATCCGATTTAGATGAAATGTGGTACACCAATTTTTTTCGACCCAAGGACGAACGAATTGAGATAAATCGGTTAAAATTTAGATATAACTGCCGAATATATTTTAAGTCTAGAATGATGTGTGGTAAGTTTCGTGAAAATCTGTTCAGATTTAGATATAGCCTCCATATATATTTTCTAAATTTAGTCTAGAATGATTTGTACTCTGTTTCGC